AGCAACAGATAATGCAAGTCAACTTTCCAGAGTAAAATCTAAAGGTTCACAAATACAAAAAACCATTACACTTAGTATAAGGAGTCGCCACAACACCAAAGAGAACTAGAGTTAAGTAGGAACCATCAAATACTAAGTGAATGCAGCACCAAACCTGAGTATGTAAAAGCTCAAATTGCATCAAAAGCAATTGAATTACGACAAAATCACCAACCTTTAGCAAAGGCATATGTATATCACCAAGTGTATCATTTGGAGTAATCAATGCTGTTTCAAATTCCTCCGCTGAGAACTCCACTCTAATATTTAACAAAGGCCTAAAAACCTAAAATCCCCATAAAAGCAAAAAAGTAAGCATTATCACCAAAAAAATGCACATAACACTTAAAGTTACAAACTTTAAGAACATACATTCAAGAAATTCAATATGGAAGCTAACTGCCACATGGACCGCAGGTTCCACCGTGGCAACTGCGAAGGCTCGGGCTCTCCCACAAGCTGTGTGACAATCTTGCTGCATTGTTGCCTTGACGAAGATGGCGACCCGTCTTCTTCGCCTTCCTCATCATCATTATCACCTTCTAGAAACTTCTCCTCCTCATCCTCCTCATCCCTCAATAACCTAGCCGCTAACCTTTCTTTCCTAACTCCAGACTTTTTCTTCCTCACTGCAGCAGCAGCCTCCGCCTCCGCCGCTGCTGCCGCCTGTAACCTCGCCGCTGCCCTTTTCGTACACTCCCTCGCCGGCCTCTCTCTCTTGACAACTATATTATTATTACTACTACTGTTATTAGCATTACTATTACTGTTGTTATAGTTGTTTTCAGCTTTGCTTTCCGAGTGGGTATTGTTTGTATCGTGTTGGATCGAGGAGGGCTGTGGGTCGGACATGATAGTGAGGGGGATCGGAGAAGGGATTGTCTAGGGAGGGTTTACAGGTGGAGATCGTGGGGTTGCATTGAACAAAAGTTGGGGTTTTGGCCAAGAAAATTTTGAAATATTATCGACAGCTGCAATATCTAGGAAGAGGTTCCTGCTACTGCTACTGTAAAAAAAGGAAAGCATCATCCAAGAAAATCGAACATGGGTAATAATCTTGTAATAATGATGGGTGATAATTTTAAAAAAAAAAAAAAGATTTGAGCTTTGGTGTGTTTAGTTCTTGTGGGTGTGTGAAATTGTGTGTTGTTTTTGGGGAGAGGGAAAGAAGAGGGAGGAGAAAGAGAATTTAGGGATATCTGAGAAAAATATTTTGGGGGTAAAGGGAGAGAGTGGCGTGGGATTTGGTGACTGGAACGGTGAATTTGGATTAAATTAGGACTGGAACGGTGAATTTAGGAACTTTCGGAATTGGAATGTGTGTTGTGATTTGTGAATGTATTTAACAACTTTGGTTCAGGGCAAGGGTTTTCACGAAACTGGAAGAATGAAGGATATTCAGAACGACGCCGTGCAATAACGTTGCTTTATATTTGACAGGAAAAATGTTTGGTCAACTTAATGAAGTATGGGAAAAGGGACAAAAGTTGGCAAATTTTTAAGCCTCTAAAAGGAAAGAAAAATAGGAGAGTAGGATTGTTCCCTATAATTTTTTTGTTACATACAAAGAGGTTAGAGGTTGGGGAGACCAAAAATCCCTGACCACATGGAGATTCCATTGATCATTACAGAAGCTAAATTAGATAACTTAGGTTTAATTGTGTTTATGTATCGTTAAAATTAAAATACAACACAAACTACTTCTGTTGTTTCTCTAACTTTTTGTTTCCACCGTTTTGAAACCTCTATGCTCTCTTGAATGAGATTTTGGGTTTTATGTGTCTATCATTTCACCATCAATATATCTTGAAAGTCAATAGTATTTCGTGATGATATTTATCTAATGTGATATATAAAATATGATAAAAGTGAATTTATTGATCGATTGTATTATATAGGTCCAAGTTAGGAGACCGACCCCCAGAATTTTTTTTAATGATCCGCAATTATGTTGAGGTTCGGGGAGTTGATGCAAGCCGATAAATCCTTCAAACATAGTGGGTGTTATTATTAAAGATTTTTGTGAATTTTTCGCTTAATTGTATTACAACACATGTATGAGCAAGGCAACAATTACCGTATATTTGGAGTCCATATAGCCTTTGAGCATTTGGTGGCTTTTTCCCCCAAGTGTTTAAAGAAATCAATTTATTTTTTTAGGGATTTTTTCTTTTCTATATAATATTTGAAGCTTATTTACTAAAATTATTCTAGTTTTATATATTACAAATTAAGAATTACTTACAAATTATATACAATCCATAATTAGTGCCTTAAATTAGGGGATTCAATTACATTATTTTCCCTTTTGTCTCCTCTCTTCTTTCCTCATTTTTCTGCCTCAATTCTATGGAGTTGAATTGCGCTAACCTGAGTTTTTGTGATATACTCAAATAGCGTTCAAAACATTTTGATTCTCATCGTTTTCTCCATTATAGATTCCACTCTTTTTAATAAGTAGTAGCTTTAGTGTACGTACGTTGCACGTGTCTTTCGCGTCAATCAATATAGAATATATTTAAAATAATAAATTGGTGCATACATTGAAACAATAGCTGAATTTTAGTATCTTCTGTGCATGCAAAGATGATGAATTTAGTTGAATTAGTTATATAATATTTGTAACTATAAATATTTTATTATAGTTATGAGATATAAATACGTTATGTTGTTGTATCTCGCCTAATATCTCTTTAGAATACAAGTAATATAAATTTGGACTATCAATTGACCAGTGACACTAATAGCTTGTTTGGCCAAACTTCTAAAATCACCTTATTTTAAAAAGTGTTTCTCGCAACAATATTATTTTAAGAAGTATTTTTGGTGAGAAGCAACTTGTGTTTGGTTAATTAATTTGAAAAGCACTTTTGAGCAGTAATTAGTATTTCGTTAAGCTTTTAAAAAGTGCTTTTAAGTGTATTTTTCTCAAAAATATTTTTCGAAAAAATACTTTTAGGGAGAAGCTATTTTTTCTGCTTCTCGAAAAATTCTTCTGCTCCTACTCAAAAATACTTTTTTCATTCTAAAAGCTTAGCCAAATACCTTAATATAGAGTATTTTTGGTATAAAAAAAAAAGAACTTTTGACCAAAAAGAAGCTTGGCCAAACATGCTATAAGTATTTATATTACATCAGAATTTGTATAACGGCTATTTCATCAAAATATTATAAAACTTAATTACTGAATATAAATATTTATCTAATTTTTTATCCTATAGTGCGCTTCTACATTCCCAAATATATATTTCTTGAAATTCTAATCTATTAAATAATATATTTTTCATAAAATTCTAGTCACTGAATTAGGCCGGTCTTGAGGAAGTTGTTCTTTAAAAAAAATCTAGATCTTTATAAATAGTTATTATTTTCCTTAATATGTTAAAAGCTTGAAAAACTAAATAATAATTTAAAGTTTTGAAAAAGGATATTTAATGCATTCATAATGAAGCTTTAAAATTAACCCTTCGGGGTTGTCATTTGGTTTGGAGGGTGGTCATTCTGGGATCGAATCCCCCCTCAATACCTTCTAGGATGAGCCTATCGCACAGAGTTTGCCTAGTGCGGTTTACATCCCATGTATGATTTGCATGCTATTACACAGGGGGAGGTTTACCTAGTGCGCACATAGTGCTCACCCGAAGGGCAGAGGTTGTAGCGGCTGCGGGTTTCCCCTCTTACCAAAAAAAAAAAAAAAACTTTAAAATTAATGGTAACTTTTTGACAATTGATTTATCATCAAGATTCTAAAATAAATTATGTAGAAAAATGAAGCTAAGCTACTTTTTATAATAAAAGAGATTAAAAGTTTAAAAATTTTCTCGACATAAAAAAATACATGGTATATATATTAGAGAATTACATATTTAAAGATTGATTTTTCTAATTTAGATGAAGGTTCAGTAAACAATGCAGTATGTATTATGTTTAGTAAACAATATGTGTTAAATAAATTTGATTTAATTTGTCGAGATTCTAAAATAAATATTTTATGTAGGAAATAAATTAAAGCTACTTTTTATAACATAATAAATTAAAAGTTTAAAAACTGGGTTTTTTCTCGGGTTGAGTCTTGTTCTTAATTTTTTATTTAATATTTATAAGTCTATTTTTTACATGGTAATGAAAAACAAATTGTAACCTAGGGACATAGAATTTGTTCTTTCCAACTTTGTATAAAAACTAAAAGAGGAACCATATAATCTTTACTTAGACAACAAAAGCAATTTTCTTAACTTAAAAGTATGGTGGTTGGTAAATAGAATATGGTTATATGGAATTAGTAAACAAAAAATGGTTACTTGGATATAGTTTCTGGTTATATGGAATTGGTAAACAAATATGGTTACTTGGATGTAGTTTCGTTGGACAATTAAATCAACGTGTAATTGTTGTTTTTAAATTCTTATATATTAGAAATTCTTACATAATTCAAATAAGGAAATATATTTAATAGTCAAAATTTTATTGATTTAAAAGTTCTATTCATACAACGATTCATATATTAAACAACTATTTTTTAACTTTCATACAACAATAATTACAACAGAATATAACTTAAATACGATTTCGTAAGTATATCGTATGTCATGTCTTCTTCTTCTTCTTCTTCTTCTTCTTCTTCTTCTTCGAGTTTCAATCTGCAATTCAGCCAAAATCAAGTCTAATCTTCACCAAATACCCTCAAAAATTGAGATACAAACTCCAAAGAATATTCCCAATTATTTGCAACAACACCCAATCCAAACAAATAATAGTTTTTGAAAACCCAAATTCGAATTCAAAGTTTTAAAAATTTTTAATGGCTATCAATGGTGGAGAATCAAAACACTTTCAAATTTATTGATTGACAATTTCATTCGAATACCAATTGTAAAAATGAAAGAAAATTGCTAGGTTAAAACTCTATATTAAAACAATTAAAATTCATTGATTAATTCTCTGGAAAAAAAAAAGAGAGGATAAAAAGCATAGAAAAATGAAGGAAGAAAAATTGGGGAAAGAACGGAAGAGGAGAGAAAGAGAGAGAGACAGAGAGAAAGAGAAAGAGAAAGAGAGAGAGCAGGGATGAAAAATAACTGATTCTCTAGTCAATTCATAATATAAAAGAGATATTCATTAATGCTAATTTGTATATAATTGGTGAATTGTATATGCTTATGAAATTAAGTTAAAACTTAATTAGGGAGAATAATAAAGTTTAATATGTAGTATATGAATGTAAAATTCAAATGAGAAATACATGAACGGATTAACTTCTTATTCAGAAAGAGAGTGAACACAGGTAATTTAAGAGATCGTCTTTAATGTGATATCATGCGGAAATAAGGAAGACTCTTTAAAACAGTCTTGAATGATTCATTAGTAACAGTGGCGAAAGTAATTGGTGCTTTATTGTCCTTAAGTTGACGCATAGTATAAGTGTATCACTATTTGAAACTTAAAATGAGACAATTCAATGCAAAAAAATAGGAAAAATAATATTGTAGAACGGCTCTCAAAATAATAGTCGAATATATATATATATATATATATATTGGAGGCGTAAGTGTTTTTTTTTGTATGTTTTGCGATGGGGAAGACCTTTCCTTGTTTGATCGTTTCCATTCTTTTCTATTTTTCGGTTGCCCTTATTTGAGCTATTTTTCCATATTTTGTTACCTTTTTGCTTTCTTTTTTTCCCCTTCAAATTCGTTTTCCTTTCTTTATACTACATCACTTAAAAATATTTCAAATATGGAGATTGATGGAGTACTTTTACTGTCCAAATATTGTACTCCATTTAGTTTTTGTTGTAATGTTCACAATAATATATTTTTGAGCAAAGATCACTTTTAGCTCGTGACCAAGATTATTTATCACATAGCCGTAAAAGTGTATAGAATTTATATACTTCTTATATATAACATACAAAAGTGCATGTATATATATATATATATATATATATAACTCGAAACAAACAAAATAAAGGCCTACAGTTGAATCTCTAAACCAAAGCACCCAGCTCAACTTTTATTTCGTGGGTGCTCATCCCTCTTATATTTGATTTTTTCATTAATTTCACATAAAATACACATAGCCTACCCAAAGACAATGGGTGCTTAAGCACCCACACCACTAAAACGCGGATCCGCCGCTGATCAATACGATAGACAATTGTATATACATACATAAACTTGTGTTCCTTGTGGGTTAAAAATAAGACGCGTGCTATGTATGTTTTATTCTCTGACACACATGGAAGGACACGGTGGGAAGCGGAGATAAAAGTAACAAAAATAAGGATGCTAAGATGGATGTGTAAATATATTATGAGAGATATAATTAGGAATAAAGATATTGGGGATTAGGTGCGAGTAGTCTCTTTGGCGGATAAGACGCGGGAAGCGAGGCTGAGATAGTTCGAAAATGTGAAGAGGAGGTGAACACATGCTCCAGTAAGGAGGTGTAAGAGGTTGGCAGATGGTGGGAATGAGGAGAAGGGGCGACTCGACATAATATGGGGCGAAAATAAAAAGTGAGGTCATAAATTTTTTTAATTTTTTTTACTCTTATAATTTATCGAAATCTAAAGAAGTTATAATTAGTTTTAACTATTGTTACTGTCGTCTAACCAAAATTAACCCAAATAGCTGCCCACCTACTCCCGCAAACTAAAAATAGCTGACGAATGTATAATATAAGTATAATTCATGTATAATATAGGTATAATTGTGTATAATCATTGTATATCTATGTATACCGGCTAGAAAAAGTAAACATTGAATCTGGTCGGCTATTTGTGTAACAATCCCTTTGTTTAATCTCTCTTGTGTTATCATGTTGAACTTTATTGATTTAGTTTTGAAAATTTTTTAAACCGAGGCAAGTGATATACAAATTGTTAAAGGTAATTGTATTAACACTTTTTACATGATTGAGTTTGCCAAATAGAGTATTCATCTACTTATACAGTTTCTCTTAGCACTTTTAATTCTAAATATAAGTTGAAACAAATAATGTTGTAGTAACTACTATATTTAAGAGTCATTCAATATTAAAGAAGAATTTTAATAGTTACTTGTCAAAGTAAAAGTATCTACAAAGGCACTCAAAGAATTAAGAAAAATTATTCTAAACTAACATTGTAATCGATTTAAGTTGGGACGAATTAAAAATATGAAATAACTGGTAACTACAATTTAAGATGTGTAAAACTTTAGCTATAACAATTTTAACTAAATGATTTAAAAATTCTATCAATAGTGCATAATTATTAAATACTATATATATTATTTATAGATTTTGGGGGCCTAAGGCCATTGCTTTAGTAGCCTTGGGCTCCAGTCGGCCTATTGAGGAGCGGTAGAGGTAGGCCGAAGAAGTATTTGGGAGAAGTGATTAGACATGACATAGCACATCTTCAATTTACCGGGGACATGACCCTTGATAGCAGGGTTTAGAGGTTGGGAATTAGGGTAGATGGTTAGTAGGTAGTCAAGTCTATTTCTTTCCTATACCAGTAGTATTAATATTATTCTTGTATTTTCTTATCCTTAAAACTCTTTTACTGCATGTTATTTTTTTGTGCTTCGATTATCTTATTATCTTGTTATTATTATTGCTTTTTTTTTTGCTTCTCTACTATTTTTTTTTATTTTTTTAAACTGCTATGATTTTGCTTTTTTTGAGCCGATATAGGAAACAACTCTCTACCTTCACAAAATAGAGCTAATATCTGCATACATACTATCCTTTCACGTCCTCACTTATAAGATTATATTGAATATATTATTTTTGTTGTTGTTGTTATACATACTTTTCTCAAATCAATTATGAATTTGGAATCTAATTTCATGTTGGTGTTATTCATACAATGTGAGACATAAACTCATAATGGTGATTTTTATATGGGGTATAAGTGGTAATGATGGTATTATGTCAGGTTTGATCCTATCCTAGGTATATTTCATAATTTTCAAACCTCATCATATCTTTTCATTTTTCATGTCTTGTCGAGTTAACCCCAAATGAAATCAAACTAAAAGAGCATCCCCTAAAAAGTAAAATAAAGTGAAAGAAAACTAAAGAGAAAAAAAAAAGGACTCATTTGCCTTGCTTTAACAATCACGTAGTAGTTAATCTCTCTTATAGCCAATATGGCCAAGCTTATTTTTTGGCTAAAAATATTTTTTTTTAAAGCCAAAAGTATTTTTGGCCAAAAATTGAGGTATTTGACCAAGCTTTTGGAAGGGAAAAAAATACTTTTGAGGAGAAGCAAAAGCAGAAAAAAGTAGCTTATCTCCAAAAGTACTTTTCTGAGAAGCACTTTTGAGAAAAATACACTTAGAAGCAGTTTTCAAAAGCTTGGTCAAACACTAATTACTGTTCAAAAGTGTTTTTCAAATTAATTAGCCAAATACAAACTACTTTTCACCAATTTTTTTTTTTTTAAAAAGTACTTTTGAGAAAAACACTTCTCAAAATAAGCTTATTTTAAAAACTTGGCCAAACAAGCTATTACTCTTGATACAACCATTTTTCAGAAGGAAAACTAAAGAGATAATAGATATATGTCAACAAATTTAAAAACGGTCAGTTAATATGATTAGATTAATTAGAAAAATAACGCGCGAAAAACATAGAAGATGAATGGAAATTTGTATAGCATTCGTAAATGATCCAGAAATATTGTTAAAAACTTATCGTCCTTGATCCTCGGATTGGTGATCTATACAATGTGGCTGTTGCAAATACGTTCCATCTAACTTTAGCAATAGTTTAATTATATCCGCTAAAGTTTTTGAAACTAAATTTATTTTTTCTGAGTTATATAGTTGATTCACACCTCAATTATAGCATGTTTGACCAAGCTTTTTTTGTGGCCTATTTTTTGGGGGGGTCAATAGAGTTTTTTTTCTAAAGTTAAGGTGTTTGGCCAAACTTTTAGAAGTAAAAAAATACTTTTGAACAGAAGCATAAGTAGATTTTGAAAAACAGAAAAAAATAATTTTCGCAAAAGCACTTATTGAAAAATACTTTTGAGAAAAATATACTTTAAAACGCTTTTTAAAAGTTTGGCTACATACTAATTGCTGCTCAAAAGTGTTTTTCAAATTAATTTACCAGAAACAATAAATACTACTCATACAATGAGCTGAAAGAAAGCAAAAAGAGCATAATTGTATAGTAATACTTAAGTAGCCTATTGAGTTCTTCTATACATGAATAGCTAAAACAGTATCCTGGAATCAACTACTGACCACCATAAACCAAAAAGACAACATGAGGAGTACTAACTTCTTGTATGAACCTGTTAACATAACTGCTGCTGAAGGAGGGGAAGTAGCAGGAGCTGGGGTGCCAAAGTCAGTGGCATTTTCCTTAGCACAAGTGTATTTGCAACGACTAGGACGAACAACCCTGTATACACCACTGCTTGCTAGGAGGTATATATCCTTATTGTTATCCTCACCATATGAGAAAATGTAGCCCAGAGCTGGAACTGAACTTCCTGGAACCAAGGCACAATTTATCGGAGAATTCCCAGCACAAGTGAATGCAATTTTGGTTGTGTTAAATATTCCACTATTCTCAGGGATTTCAGTGCCTGCCCACATTGCACCTGCATATAAATCCGCAAACAGATACCTGAAACAGTTCATGTATGTCATAAACATAAAAGTATATAATACAAAATTTTGGAAATACAAACAGTAACATTCGACCTGGACAACATTGAATTAGTAGACATACCTTCCGGACATGCAAGGATCGCTCATGGACCTATAGAAGTATCCACCAGTGATTGAGGCTGACCCTTCATTCTTATTTACTTCAGAGTGATTATAAGCCATGACTGGGAAAATTGGGTTTATTGAGCTCGTAGATATATTTTTTCCAGGTGATTTTGGAGGAGCGAATGGATGGGCACCCTCGTACATATTCCAGCCATAGTTTCCTCCCTTGGTGATTATATCCACCTCTTCATAGTGATCCTATGGGAAAATCATACAGTACCAATAGATCCAATGTATCAATGCCACAACGCCAACTAAATAAACTTCTGGAGTGAGGAAATGTAAGGATTTTTCGTATAAATCTAACGTGGAGTTTGAAGGTGGACACATAAGAATTAAAGAGCATGGTATTAGCTGTTAAAACATACATGTCTTATGAGAACTGCATGGGGAGTAAAATTGTTGCACATTACCTGGCCTACATCTGCACACATGAAGTAAGATGGCCTTGCAGAATCAAAGCTGCAGCGCCAAGGATTTCGCATTCCTAGTGCCCATATTTCTGGCTGCAATTCTTTATCTTCAATATAAGGATTATCCTTTGGAATGGTGTAGTTTCCCCATAAACCAAGCTGGCTAATCTCTTCAGCACCTAAAACAATCGCACACAAAATAAGAGGCGACTCAGCTGACTAAAAAACGCTTCATTTTCACAGGATTAGAAACTACACGTGGATCAACAGACGGAGACTTTTGGCAAGAAATTCTTCACAGTTGCAAATAAGGCAGAACAGACACAGAACCAGTAGAAAACTTGCATCCTCATTCCTCCAGAAGGCATATTACTTTCTTTTCACCAGTTGCTGCTAGTCATATTAGTTGAAAAATAAGCAGCTAGAATCTTTCCAAAGATCAGGAATGATGCATCTGTTGGCAAAGAGCTTTATCCTTGGCAAAGATGACTACAAAGACAAGAGAGTGCTATTTTCTAATCGGGACTACAAAGATTTAGCCGTTTAGAATCTATTTACAACATGCAGTACGATAGCCTAGAGCAGGTGCAAGACCATCAAAGTTAGCACATGTAAATGGATATATAAAATACTACTCAGTACATGTAAAGGAGGTCACAAATTCGAGCCGTGGAAATAGCCTCTTGCTGAAATACGGGGTAAGGTTGCGTACGATAGACCCTTGTGGTCCGGCCCTTCCCCGGACCCCGCGCATAGCGGGAGCTTAGTGCACCGCACGAGTTTTTGGCTAAAATCATCCCTCATAGTCAACTATGGCTCAAAACTAGAGTACATCCTTGTGTAATAATAGCGAGCAAAAAACATCTCTTAACTATCCAAAAAAAAGGCAAGAATCATCCTTCCGTTAATTCCCGTTAAGAAACTAACAGCTGCAACCAAAA